GGGATGGACACACACGGAGGCAGCAGCTGAACGGGTGTGATCCCACTGAATGAATGAATGAACCAACCAACCCCAGACCTGGGCCTGGGCAAACCAGTGGTAAAGGACCAGGATCAGGCCAACGGCCTGAAACTGGTCCAGCCTAGCTGTCGGGCCTTAGGGGGACCGCTACACAATCCCCAGTCCTGTGAATGGATCAAATGATACATCAAACAGCTATCCTCTGAAATAGCGGAAACCCAAAAGGAACGGCAAAGAAAACAATCCTAAATGCGGAGCAAGCTCCATGCAGAAACAGGGATGCAATGCAGACTAAGCCTGAAGCATAATCCGAAGAAGCAATGTATGGACTGAGTCGACCTAAAAAAGGGAAAAATGTCTGACCTGTGTCAGCCAAGAAAGAGCAAATTTTGTGACCTGTGTCGGCCAAGAAAGAGAAAAATGTCTCCTGAGCTAATGTGGCTGAACTAAGATCACCACCAGGACCCTAAGTCGAAAAAGAATGAGGGACAATCTCACGTGCCCTGTGCACAATGCACAATGCCTCAACAGAAGAGAGGGAGCGCAGTCATGTGGCAAAGGTAGGGATAGTCTGAAGGGCGGCAGGTACAGCTCTTAGAGCAAACTCCAAGGGGGCATCCACACAGCCGGGTAAAGGTCATCAGGCTCAGGGGAATAACAACATGACTCCGGGCTCAATGGAAACCATCAAATGGGTACCGCCAGCTGAAAGGAAGGGGCACTCACACAAGGGAGCACACATTAGGCGAGCTTGGAGAAGGAGATGGCTACGATTGCATAGACATGTGGCCAAAAGCCGCAAGCAAGGAAAACGTACACTCCAAAGCAAGGCGCACAGCATAGGGTAAGAGGCAAAGGGGCGACAAAAGAATACACCCACAGCAAGAAAAGTAGGGATCATCATGCAACTTAATGATGAGCTCAAAGGCGCGGGGTAGGTGTGAATGAGGGACACTCCATGGAGGAGGAAAAATGCAATGGTCCATCTGATGAAGCTCTAGAATGAAGTCGAGTCGAAATGATGAAGTAGATGGTGACGAAGTCGTCGAAGTAGTCACGCTGAAGTAGGAGCAACACTTAAACCGAGGACCCCTCTAGGACCAGAAATTATAGTATCGGAAGGAAGTCCGAAATGCTGCAACAAGTACGCTGCTGCTCAAGAGGAGCACTGAAGTCAAAGGTCAAAGGTAGATACTGTAACCGGGAGCTGCTGCATAAGTGTACAAGAGATATAGAAATCAATCACGGTAGCGAGGAGGAGGTCGATGGGCATGCAGTGGGGGAGACAAATGGACTGCATCAACAGGCGGAACCGCGTCCACGGGGAAAAAAGGACCTGAGGCAGGCACCGGTGGAGCAGGAGGAGCCATCGATGTAGAAGGGGGAATGTTAGTGGTCGTTTAAGTAGATGGGTTAGTGCGAGGATGAGAAGTAGGAGGGGAGGAAGATGAAGGGAAAGGGTGAGTGTGATCATAAGCACGCATGAAAGTCATAGCGTGCTTCAAGTGCTCGAGAGGCTCCCAAGTAGACTCCTCGTCAGGATAACCCTTCCAACGAACAAGATACTCGAGGTGTTTAGGATCACCGTCTGTCATATGGTGGGACACAATACCAGAGACGACAAACTCCTCGTGACCCTCAATTATGATGGGAGAAGGGCAAGGGTATGGTCGACCGTGGAACTTAGGAGGAGACCGTCGAAACGGGTGCAATGTAGATACATAGAACACATCATGTAAGTTAGTGTGATACATGGAATCGGGGAGCTTCAGTTTGAAGCTCACGGGAAAGAATGGTGCATGAATGGTGCATGGGCAAGAATGGTGCATGGGTCAATATATTGACGTCTGAATTTTCGAAGCGTATCGGCTTCGGAAAGTGACGTGCGTCGACATGAACTTCATCGCCAACTTTGAAGGGATGGTGAATGCGAGAACAGTTGGCGCGAGCCGCTATTCCAGCCTGGGAGTTGCAATGCTCTCACAAGCCTTGCTAAGAAGCGCATCCATTTCCTTTACCAGGTCATTGAGGCAGGTCGGGATGGATTTGAGATGGACAAAGGAGGTCAGATGGGACACGAGGGTGGTGTCCCAAGTCACAGTAGTAGGGAGACATACCCGTGGCTGGTGAAATTTTATGGTTATAGGCAATCTCTATGTGAGCAAGGTGAAGATCTCAATCAGTGTCATTCTCAACAAACTTCTTGAGGATATTATCAAGAGTTTTGTTGGTGATCTCGGTTTGTCCATCTGGCTGGGGGTGGTAAGAAGAGGAAGGGAGGAGCTCAGAGCCGTAAATCTCACGGAGTCTACGCCAAAAGTGAGAAGTAAAGCGACGGTCACGATCAGAGACGATGCTGGTGGGAAGACCGTGATGAATGGCAATTCGATTAAAGTAAAGAGAGGCGATGGTTTTCGTTGAGCTAGCATACTTGCAAGGGAGGAAGTGAGCATGCTTAGTCAACCGACAGACAACGACAAAGAT